GCCTCACTCACCTTCTGCCCTGGCCCCATCAGCTCCTGGAGGGCAAGAGAAAGAGGGAGGAGTAAGCAGGGAGACTGAAGTCTTCAGATTCCTTAGTGCCTGCCATTTCTTTGGACAGCTGCCCCCGGCCCCCTTAAGGACGCCAAAGCTGAAGGGAGAGGGAGTGGCCAAGAGCCTAGGGAGCCCGGTGTTCTTGAGCCCAAGATAAGGGTTGCACCCCAGAAAAGAGTTTATACCCTGAGCCCTGTTCACCACCCCTCCCCACAATCCTTGCCCGCACATAGTCACTCACCTAGCTCTGACTGGAAAATTCCAAGCAAAAGCAGAATGGCCACAGCCTCCAGCTGCCTGGGCTCCAGGCCTGCTTTCAGGGCCATGGCCCAGGACAAGGGCCCCTGGGAAGACACCAGGCCCGCAAGCCCCAAAAGCATGCCTCACTCACCTTCTGCCCTGGCCCCATCAGCTCCTGGAGGGCAAGAGAAAGAGGGAGGAGTAAGCAGGGAGACTGAAGTCTTCAGATTCCTTAGTGCCTGCCATTTCTTTGGACAGCTGCCCCCGGCCCCCTTAAGGACGCCAAAGCTGAAGGGAGAGGGAGTGGCCAAGAGCCTAGGGAGCCCGGTGTTCTTGAGCCCAAGATAAGGGTTGCACCCCAGAAAAGGGTTTATACCCTGAGCCCTGTTCACCACCCCTCCCCACAATCCTTGCCCGCACATAGTCACTCACCTAGCTCTGACTGGAAAATTCCAAGCAAAAGCAGAATGGCCACAGCCTCCAGCTGCCTGGGCTCCAGGCCTGCTTTCAGGGCCATGGCCCAGGACAAGGGCCCCTGGGAAGACACCAGGCACTCAAGGGAAGGAACTGAGGACTGGCTTAGAAGGCAAGATCTCGTTGGACCCAGAGGGGAGGGACAGGATCCCAGAATACAGGAAGATCGGAGTAAGTGTCCAAGGCTGGCTTCGGAAGTGGGGAGCAGGCGCAAGGGGAGACGCTGGAACCTTCACAGCTGTCAGTGAGGACGCATCTCCGGCACAGCCTGGTCACGCAGAGACCTTCCAGAGTGACAGCTTCTAGGAGAAAGGCACCTACCTGCCGGCCCCTCCCCTGGCCCCGCCCTCACTGCTCAAGTCTGCCAGCTTCTCTTGCCACCAAAGTCCTGAATCCTCTGAGACCCTGGGGGGTATGTGTGTGTGTGTGTGGCCGCGCAGCTGGGGGGCGGGGGGGTGGTGGCGGGTGACTGATCCACTGGAGAGCAGCCCCAGGCAGGGCTGGAAACTGGAAATCCTGATGACCCAGCTCCTCATAGGGCCACCCAGCTGCTCTTGGCCTCAGGTCTTTCAGGTCTCCCAGACCAGTTTTGACCCTCAGGGCTTGGCCCAGCCTCTGTTATCATGGGGCCACAGCCACTCCTACCCTGTTCCCTCCTTAGGTCCCATATCAAGCCTAGGACATGGGGTCTGCCCCATGCTAGGGGCCGTTTTCTGTAGAGCCTGCAGCCTCATATGTGTGGTGAGGCGTGGTGAGCGTGTCTGGCAATGCCAATCATCTCACAAATATTCACTGAGTGCCTACAGTGTTCCAGGCACAGGAGACAACACAGACACTGTCCCTGCCTTCCCTGAGCTCACCCTGAAGTAAGGATGACGGGCTTGACTCAAATAATCACACAAGCAATTATAGAATAATTTCAAACTAGGAACTATGATGAAGAAAGAAAGGAAGCTCTGGAAGCCATACACAGGAACTTGATATAGGCTGGCATCCAGAAGGAAGTACCTTCAGAACTGAGACCTAAAAAGGGTTATGAAAAGGTGTTAGCAAGGCAAAGATGGGGGAAGAGTGGTTTAGGCAAAGCATTCTCAGATGGAGGGTGCACGTGGCCCAGGTTCAGGAAAAGAAGAACTGAGTGACTGGGTCAGGAGTCAGGCACATCCTCTATGAGCATATGAGTCTGTGAGAAATTGCGAATGCATTTTGGTTTCAAGCTTCAGAAAAACAGCCCTGCTTCCCCACATACCTTCCATAGACTAGGGGTCTGGACCTCTGGGCCAAGACTTCAGTGCCCAAGCTAGAGAGCAGGAAATTCCTGAAGTGGGTGAAGGGATCGAAGCTGACTCTCAAAGGGGTCTAAGCTGGGGAGGTGGAGCAAGACACTGGGCATTGTGAGTGTGTTTGGGTAGAGAATGGGGTATGTTAAATGTTTGTGGGGGATGGCATATGGGTGACTGACTAGGTACAGGATGGGGATATGTGTCCTGTGGAGATTCAGGGACCTGGCAGCTAAAGATAAGCCTGGCCTTTTAAGAACTTCTGCCCATCTCCCTAGTCTCCCAAGGAGAACTTCCAGCTGCCCTCTATGTCTCTCCTCCCCCATCCTCTGCCTACTCAACTCAGAGATTTGATTCCAGACCCAGAGGTGACCCCTCTGCTACCCTCATCAGCTGGCTTCCACCCCAAGGACCCCCCTTCCCCAGGTCCCCATTTGTCCTTTTTCTGTGTTCAAACATCATCTCTAAGACCCTTTCCTGATGCCCAGCCAGGGGTGTCCATATGTATTCCTCACTACATAGGAAGCACTTCATGGTCTTATCCTTTAGACCCTAGCTATGCCATGACTTAGTAGTGGGACGGTAACATGCTTGAATTAGTGCAGGGAGATGCACCACGGAGTGGCGGGGGGGTGGTGGTGGGAGGCACTTACAAGGATGGTGATGGGTCCCAAACCTGGGGCCACTGGGAAGGATGTGAAAGTGGTGGACCCTTAAAGGGTACCCTTTAACCTTGAAGGGTGCCATGTGTGTGTACTGGGGATGCTGGAGGTATACTTCGGGGCATCATTCATCAGGGTGTGTAGATGGGGGCAGCTCCCTGTGGGTATAGGATACAGTAGGCAGACCCTAGACTCCCAGACTCCTGGGCCTTTGCTCTGAAGACCCTCACACTGTCCTTGCTCTGGGGGGAGGGGCAGCAGAGTCAGAACTAGGGCTAAAGTGTCCAGCAGGTGCTGGGGATGCTGATTCCATTGAGGAGATGACACACACCCAGCTGGCCACCCAAACTCCCCCACCCTGGGGCAGGAATGAGGGACAGCTGCCACGTTATCAGGGACACATTTCCTGGGAGCCCAACGCCTGACTCACAGTGGCCCAGGAGGGAGGGGCCTTATCCCTTGGGCTTCCCTCTAGTACCCCCAGCCTGCCCTCAGCAATGCCACAAGGCCCACGTATCTGTTTACACCTTTATTGGCTGATCCTGCTGCCCCCAAGAATTCCAGGGCACAAAATAGCTGGGCACTGAGACGCAGTTATGGGAAGCCAGTGCAGTCTAGGTGGGTGGGGAGCTCTGGAGGAGCAAAGGGAATAAAAACCAGTTAGGTCACATTCCAGCCCCACTGGGGTGGAAGTGGAGGGCTGGAGGGGATGGGGGAAGGACAAAGGGAGGTGGCCCAGGGACCCAGGCCCCTCAGCCCTGGATTAGGGGAGTCAGTAGCAGCAGGAACAGAACAGCAGAAGAGGAGCCTGAGGCCCCAGCCATGTCTAGGGGGCAGAGGTTGCTGCCTTCAGGGAGCCAGTAGGGGGAGCCACTGGGGGGCAGGAAATGGGCCTCTCCCACTGTATGGGAGAGCCAGGCCTCTTCAGGGCCAGTGGTGGCAAACAGCTCCCGGCTTCCTTGAATAGCAATGCCCACGAAGACCCAGGAGCCTCCTTCAGTCTGGCACAAGAGCAGAGGTGCTGAGGCCACCTGCAGAGTCAGAGCAAAAGCCAAAGGGTCTCTTACTCTCGCTCCTGGTTCCTTGTACCTTCTTCTAGGGTCCAGCCTCAAAGTACTGCTTCTTCCCATTTGGGGCCCACTACCTGAGAATTCCAACCCTGTTCTCTCTCTAGGGTCCAGCTGCCCAGCACTGCATCTCCCCTGCCTGGACCAGGATGCCCAGGCACCTGTACCTCACACCGGTCTTCTTGCCCCTCTGCATACAGGACACAGAGAGTCCCAGGAGTCAGGATGCCCTGATAGAGGCAGTGACAGAGTCGTGATGTCAAGATGGAAACAGCAGCAGCCACGGGGACTAGAGAGAGGAGAGAGGGTTGTCCCAGGAATTCTTGCCTCCAGTCACTTCTCACCTGCAGGATCCAGGGATCTCACCTCGGTCCTGGGGATCCTTCCAGCCCAACACCCAGCAGCTGGCCCCCAGGGGGATGCCCCCTGGGTGAAGGCAGATGGACAAGGCTGAAGGGGAGGGCTCTATCCGGGAGCTCATCTCTAGGAGGGCCAGTGGGGGGCGAAGTCCCAAGTGCCGGGGCAGACGGATGCTGATGACCAACCGGGATACCTGCTGGCCCTGTGGGAGGGGGCTGGCCCCTGCCCGGCCCAAGTATACTTCAATGTAAGGTACTGTTGTAGAGCCTGGCCTGTTGGAACAAGACCCAATGTCACCTCCTGTCCACCCTCCCACCATCACCCTCTTGCTGATAAAGTCCTTCCCAGTCCCGGGAAAGGGTGGAATGAATCTCCAAGGTCATTCCACTAACTCCTTTATTGTTCTTCCTTCCAAATCTCTTTTCTGTCTCAAAACATTTCACAGCAGTTCCCCTGTGCTGTAAGAACCCTAAGGTAGACTGTCCCACTATTGAAAGGGTCCTTTGGCCCATCTCCCAATTTTCTCCTCTTGCCCAGGAGATAGGTGAGACCCACCTGAGGACACAGTGAGTGGCTGCCAAGACCCAGCCTGGGGCCACGAGGATCCCAGTGCAGACTCGATCACCAGCAACATGTACCTCTGCCATCCAGGGCCACAGGAGCCCCATCGGACCGGGCTCTGGCCGCAGGCCACAGGCTAGGGAGAGGAGGTGACCACCTCAGCTGACCCCAGAAGTCCCTACCATGGATCTAAGCATCCCTCAAAACTAAGCTTCAAAGGCTCCCCCCTCACCACCATGCTCTGTGCGGGGTGGACAAATCTGTGTTTCAGTCTCCTCTCCCTCAGAGCCCCAGTCCCAGGCCAGCTGGTCCTCTAAGTAGGCTCCCTGAGTCACATGGCCGATCCATGGGCCGTGGGTCTGCAGAGGGTGGAAGGCTCTGGGACGTAGGCAGCCACTGGAGAAGTCTCTGATTCCAGCCAGGAACCAGGTCCCCTCCTCCTGGCACAGAAGGCTCCAACTTGATTCGTTCTGCAGCAAGAGAATGTGTGTTACCAATCTGTGCGTGTGTGTAAGTTGATAGAGGATATTAAAGGCCCTGGGGCTTTCCTGGACTTCACATTCTTCGGTTCTCGGACATAAGTTCCCACTTCCTCCAAGCCAGGGTCCAGTACTAATCAGTATAAGAAGTCAGCCCTCACTTTACGATTCCCTTGAAATCCCGGGGTAAGCGAGAAGGCCCGACAGCGCCCAGGACCAGCTTCAGGTCCAGCTTCAGGTCCAGCTTCAGGCCCCTCCCCAAAGTCTTCCAGGGCTAGACTCCGCCCCCAGGGTGTTCTGGCCTCGCTTTAACCCCGTCTCCGCCTCCAGCGCATTCAGCCTAGATCCCAGTCTCTCTCAGGCTAGGTTGCCAGCCCGCTGGGCCTCTCTCGGAGTCCTACGCAGACCCGTAGGCTCCGCCCCCGCCGCTTACCCAGCAGTGGCCCGCCTCCTCCTCCTCCTCCCGGTAGGCGGGGCAGAGCTTGTGCGGCGGGTGCCCGGGCGGTGGAACCAACGCCCCCTGGCGGCCGTACAGGCAGTGACACCACCAGCCGCTTAACAGCTCCGCCTCCAGCAGCGCGGTGGGGCCAGACGCAGGTCCTGGAAGAGAAAATGGTGGGAGCTCGCGCCGCGGTGCCGTTTGGCCCCGCGCCATCCCGCCATGCCCCGCCCCGCCCCTCGCCGGGCCCCTGCTCACCGCCGCTGCCCCAGCGAGCCAGGCGACAGCGGCTTCCCGGCAGGAAATAATGTTCTGGGTGAGGTAGGCACACTGGCCGCGGGCCCACGCTCAGGTTCACGGGCGCGCGCAGCTGCAGCAGCGCCAGGTCAGAGGTGTCGTCCCAGGAGGCGTTCTTGTGAGGCACGAGGCGCGCCACCTGTTCCGGGCGAGGGCGCGAGGGCAATAGCACGCGCCAATTGTCCAGGTCGCGGGGCGGGCGGTCTGTGCTCCTGGGGTCGAGGGATAGAGACTAGGGACGTGGGCCGGATCTTGCACATTCGGCTCGGAATCTCGCACCCCTGGCTTAGGCTCCATATCCCAGGCTAGTATCCTGCATCCCAGGCCTGGGAAATGCTCACCAAGACCCCCGCATCCTTGATCAAACATACTACTCCTTTACTCGTCCCCAATGGGCTGGAACCCCGCTTCGTGAGTTGGACCTTACACATCCTAAAGAGACCCCTTGCACTCCAGATTGAGGTGCCCCCCACTCTTATTGCACAAGGGTTGGAGCCAGGTAGTGTCTCAGGCCAGTGGGGGGAGGGCAAGAATCTGTCTGACATGTGGGTTTTTCACTCACTCCAGGAAGCAGCTGGCAGGTACCAAGACCCAGCTTTCAGACACCAGCGCCCCATGGCAGGGTTTGGATCCTGGCACCATCACCTGAGCCTCCCAGGGCCAGGCCCCTGGCTGTGGGGCTTTCCCGCACTCTAAGGGGTGAGAAGCCTGGGTCAGGGGACCTCTTGAACCCCAGCACTTTCCACCCCAACTCAAACCTCCCATGTCCTGCCAACTCCCAGAAGTCCTGCCCCCTCACCTGGCAGGGTGATGGTGCAGTTCTCATCCTTGAGCTGCCAGGGGCCTGACTGGAGCTCTGGGGACTGGCTGGGAAAGACAGGCTCAGACTCTGAGCCCATCACCTGTTCTCGAATCCAAGCCTCATAGGAAGCCACAGCAGTGAAGACTCCTGGCCGGTTCCTCCGTCCACAGCCAAAGCCGAAGCTGGTGATTCCTGCCTGGAACCATCGGCCGCCTTCCTCACAGACCAGGGGCCCCCCAGAGTCTCCCTGATGATAGATGACTCAGTGTCAAGGGGTCAGCTCAGGGACACACCAGCTTATCCTGGGCCACCTTGCAAAGTTTCTACACCTCTTCATGTTGGTCCAACATACAGCCACCTTCTCCTAGGAACCTGCTTTGTCTGTGTTGTCTTCTGTTTTTTTTCC